TGGTGGCACCTATGTTTGCCCCCTGTGACATCATGTCAACAGACGTATAAGTGACACTCTTCTAGAACATATGTTTTCAGCAAGCCTCCCAGCTAACTCACAGAATTGTAAAAAATAGCAAACTTTTTCAAGCCAGTCAACTTTGGGGAGGTTTGTTGCACAGGTAAAGTCAACTGACACAGACCTTGCATATGTCAAAGCATCTTATTTTCCCCCCGCATATGATTCATAGTTTGAAAGGGTACAGATTCTAGATTAGAATAGTTTTTCCTCAGAATTAGAAAGCAGCACCCTCTGTTTCCTAATGTCCCTTATTTATTCCAGGAAGTCCAATGATATCTTGAGTCTTCTGGGTAACCTTCTACGATATTCTCATTGTCCCCAGGGCTCTGATACTTAGTAAGGAAAGCCAACAAGACCCTGAATCTTCTGGGCAATCTTTCACAATATCCTGATGGTCCTCAGTGTTCTGATCTTCCATAGGGAGAGCTTTGAAATGGGAGTTTCATCCACTGTGCTGGACACACAGTATGCACACTCACTTGGCCTCTTTTAATCTGGAGATTGTGATTCTCAGATGCAAAACCTCTTACTTCAACACGTTTCCCTGCTGCCTGCCCTGTGTTGCTGCCCCTCCAGCCCATTTGCAGGCTGAGACCTCCGTGCCTGCCCTGCGTTGCTGCCCCTCCAGCCCTCCTGTTTGCAGGCTGAGACCTCCGTGCCTGCCCTGCGTTGCTGCCCCTCCAGCCCTACTTGCAGGCTGAGACCTCCGTGCCTGCCCTGCGTTGCTGCCCCTCCAGCCCTACTTGCAGGCTGAGACCTCCTTGCCGGGCTATCGCTTTCTCACCTGTTTTCTGAGATTCTCTCTCTCTCTTTTTTTTTTTTTTTGTTGTTCTACTTCCTCAACTTTATCTTTCAATCTTTGTGGAAATCTTCATCTTTACCATCATGCTTCTGGTTTCTTTTTATTCTATATTCTATGTTTCCTATATTCTCTTATATCTAAGCAGATAGTCATTAAAATTTTTTTTGTCAAACTTTATTCCATTTTTGCACAGCATCTGAAGAGTCCAGTTTCTCTCTCTTCTGTCTTGCTTGTTTCTGTCTTGGTTGTCCTCTAATGTCTGGTGGCCCTTGGCTACCTGCTCGTGTCTCGGTACTCAGTGGTACAAGGCTGCCTGGAAGCTGTGTGGGCAAGTGACCATGTGGGGTGCTCCTCAAATGGTGACCTCCAAATGCCAGTGTATTTTCTCTTGGCCTAGTGAGTTTCCCAAGGAGGGAGACGTTGACGGTCCACCTGGCGTGGGTGGGCTGCTGTTACCTTTCCCTCCCTCCACTGGGTTCTTGCCTCCAGCTCTTGCTCTTCGGCACTTGGGTCCCCGTGGCTTCTGGTATGATCACGAGTGGAAGAACGTGCCCCCTTCTGGGGGAAGCAGGTGAGCTTTTACTGAAACAGACTTTCTCAAACCACAATTTGCTTGTCATCTACACCCCATCTTCAGAGGTCCCTAGTGCCTTCCTGGGTTCTGTGGTACATACCAGTTTCCTTTCTGGTCCACTCCCCCCACAGCTGGCTTGGCCTCTGCTTCCTTAGTCTCTAAGCCACTCCCACTCCCCCACCTGCTTTCCAGCTTCCAAAAGCTGGAAGGCCACAGTCCATCTCCTTTCTCTTTGCCCTGGTGAGTTTCTGCGTTTTATCCTTTTAATGACACTTTAGCAGTCTCCTGAGACTGAAAGGTGTTCAGCCTGTGATGTTTACTAGGGTTTTCTAGGCTCCTGAGCAGAACCCGATATTTAGTACAAATAGGCTTCACTTAGCAAATGGTTCCCGAGGATCAAGTCAGTGCCAGGCCTGTGCTGGACCCAGGGACACAGCACTGAGTGAATGATGGTCCTGTGCTCCTGTCACTGTCAGCACAAGGTACCGGTGCTGTGGCAGAGAACAAGGGCTGAGGCTGATGGCTGGGAGGAGGGGAGGTCCACACTCTCAATCTCTTGGGGGAAAAGTGGGCATGGAGTCCATTCCACCCAGGGAAGTGCATGAGCAGGGGCTGGAAACATCCACCAGAACATTACCTGCATGGACCCGCAGCTGTGCAGGTGGCCAGGGAGTCCAGGACACAGTGGGCTCTGGGACATCCTGCCTGGGCTCAGATCCCAGCTCCAGCACTCACAGTTGTGGCCTTGGCTGAGTCACTTCCCTCTTTGTGCCTCAGTTCCCTTATTTATGAAATGTGGGGGCGCAGTATCCTCTCTGGAGGTGACCATGTGGATGAAGAAAGGACATGCAGAGCTCAGCACAGTGCCTGCAGGGGGCCAGGGCTCAGAAGTGTCCCTGTTAATACTAATGATCATGTGGCATGTGGAGGGACAGGCTGGAGGATCACCAAGGGCCCTATGCTGGGACAAAGCCTAGCCATAGCCCAGAGAGTGTCAGAAGCCTCAGAACTCACAGGGCTGGAGAGAAATGAGGTCCTGAGAGGCCCAAGGCAGGAAGAGACTGAGCACCATCTCCTGCAGCACAGCTGGTGCTCCCTCTGGGGCCTGCTGCAGCTCTGGGCCCAGGGCCTCGTGTGGAGTGGGGGCCACATCCACCTGTGGGCCTGCCTGGAGCAGGCTTGGCCACCTCTGCCCGGAGGCCGGCTTCCACTGTCCCTCAGGCTCTGGCTCACCTGCTTCTGGCCCTCTAGGAGCCTCCGTCACACCCTTGGCCACCGTCCAGTGGCTCCTCTCTCCCCTGCAGGTCCATTAGGTCTTGCTGGATACTCCCCAGTGAAGGAGACCCCAGCCACCCTCAAGAAAGGCAGGGGATGATGCCAGGGATTCAGACCCCACGTATGTTGCTCACTGACATGCTGTGGGACCCTAGGCAGGTCCTCATTTATACATAGGGCAGGGGTTCCCACCTAAGGGGCAACTGTGTGATGAGAACGCAAATCCCCAGGGATCCTGGGTTCTAGGGCTGCCGTGACAAATAGCCACAAAGTTAGGGACATAAAGGAACATATCTGTCCTCTTACAGTCTGTAGGTCAGAAGTCCCAGGTGGATCTCATTGGGATACAACAAAGGCATCAGAGGCTGAGCTTCTTCTGGAGGCTCCTGGGGAGGATCCATTTCCTTGCTCCCTCCAGCTCCCAGAGGCACCCATACTCCTTGCTCTGAGCCCGTCCCTCCATCTTCAAAAGCTAGCAGTGTGGTTGGGTCTCCACATCACACCTCTTTGAGCCTTTCCCATCATCCCATTTCCATCCAAATACAGCCATGAGTCCTCCACTTTCAAGGACTCATGTGATGAGATGCGTGATCTGTCTCCCCCTCTCATGGTCCGTAACTTCAGGCACATGTGCAAAACCACAGAGCTCATGCACCATTTACAGGCTGAAGGCAGATTTAGTGGAGCCAAGGCCACAGGATCAGCCACTGTCCTGAACATCTGTTAAGTGCCTGGAGCTTCTGCATTAAGTGACATTAATCTCTGTAAGCCTCAGTTTCTCCAGGTGTGGAATGGGTATAATGATAGTACTACCCCATGTCCTGCAGAAGGGATAGCATGAAGCTCAGATGGGACACTTCCCCGGCACACATGTTGGGTCTTTAATCAAGTGGGTTTCATGATCTCACTAGTCATCTGGTGACACTGAGCACAGGGGTGCCCTCTGCTTATACAGGTGAGGAGAGGGGTCATCCAGGAAGCAGCCTCCTCCTGCCTGTGCTCTGTCCTGGGGTCCTGTGGTTGGTGGAGAACCCAGTCTAAGAGGCCCCAGCTAGCAGACCCACCAGAACAGCTCCTGATATCCCCCTGCTGAGCCTGGAGCCTAAAATAATGTCTTCTTGAAAGGCAGAGGCAGGCCTCAGCTTAGTGCAGGGAGTGCGGACAGCTCCAGCCCACGGAGTGCATCCCCATTCTCTCTCTTGTCTCAGCAGCAGCAGCTGGGGCGAGGCCGGGCCTCTCTGAAATCCTGGAGAATCAGAGCCATTCTGCCCAGAATTCCATTCCCTGGCGAGGCGTGTGTGTGGTGCGGCTGCTGGGGTAGAGTTAGCTGGTTCCAACTTGTCCTCCCTGTGTGATCTTGAGCTGATCCTTAACCTCTCTGACCTGCAGTTTCCTCACCTAGACTATGAGCTGATCCTTTAACCTCTCTGACCCGTGGTTTCCTCATCTGGACTGTATCCTCACAGAGAGGTGAGTGTTCAGAGATCATGCTGGACTGTGACACTCACTCCAAACTGGGGTGCCTAATTAGTCCAGGCACACTCTCTCACCTCCCTCTTCGTATTTTTAATTTTAATTAACGTAACTAAAGTTACATTAAGAACCCAGCATCTCTGTCCTCATCTCAGGTAGTTTAACCTGCAAGCTCTTTGGAAACAAGGCAAAAAGAGGCTTAGTGCCCGTAGCGCAGTGGCTAGGGCGCCAGCCAGATACACTGGAGCTGGTGGGTTCAAATCTGACCGGTCCTGCAAAACAACAATAACTACAACCAAAAAATAGATTGGTGTTGTGGCGGGTGCCTGTAGTCCCAGTTACTTGGTAGGCTGAGGCAAGAGAATTGCTTAACCCAAGAGTTTGAAGTTGCTGTGAGCTGTGATGCCATGGCACTCTGCCAAGGGAGACAGCTTGAGACTCTGTCTCAAAAAAAAAGAAAGAAAGAAAAAAAAGAAAGAAACATGGCAAAAAGATACAAACAAAGTGACTGTCACCATAGACTGAGTGCTGTGCCCTGGGCGCGCTGGTCAGCACTGTCCACCTGCAGCTTGCCCCTCCCCACACCATGAAGCTGGGGAATGCTACTATCAGCTCTACTTCTTCAGGGCTGAGTTCAGAGCTCAGAACATTTGTGAGTTGCGTTTATTAGGAGCTAGAGGAGGCACAGCCTAGATGTGAACCAAGCTTCCCAGTGACCAAGGCTGCCTACATGTCCACACACCTTTGCCTCCCGCAGTGCTCCACCTCCCTGCAGCCTCATGGAAAACAAACAGCATTCTGAGCCTCACTTTAGATGTAACATTTGTTATTTTATTGGAAAAAGCTGGTATTAACATATTTATAGTTTTATTCAACAGTTGAATAACTTGTGAGACACCAAAGAAAAAAGAATGCACCGAGGAGTTACAGGGTCCGAAGTGACCAACCGGACAACTTTACTACCACACCCTACACCACCACCACCACCCACAGCCTCATCCTCAGGGAAAGTCAGGTTAAAAACAGAAATGAAAGGACCCTGACGACTTCACATGACCATGTGAATACCTGCACATTCAAGACCAGAAAATGTAAGCAGAGCAGGCTGTGACGCTGTGGCTTTATACTGGTCCTTCTTCCATGTCTAGTTTTGCCCCTCCCCCACATCTGTTCTCAGCACACATTTTATTATTCACAATTTGCTCTGGACATCATTATTTTCCAGGAATCCCAAGACATACTTTTCTCTGGAGAAGATTTCTTCCTTTCTATATATATTTTTAATTCCCTTTTTGCTCTGGTACCCAAAGTTTAAAATAGAAGTAAGGAACTAGGAACTCCTTTTGAAGACCATGTAATGTTTGTATTTTGAAGGTGATAAATGTTAAATCTAATATTTGACAGTAACCTCTAGCTGTAAATGCAAGTCTCCTCTCTTAACATTGGACTCACAAAGGGAGATGACTATGCCAAATATCCAAGAAATTGTGTAAGGCCCTCTGAGCTGGATTTTGGCTTCAACAAGATTTCTATACAATTTACCACATTCTTGAACCTCTTTACAAGGGGAGAAAAAGTGATCCAATCCTTTGATTGTTAAATTTAGTTAGAATAGATATGTACATATAATACTGTCCAGGTCTCCTGGATTTTACGGTGATATATAAACAAACATTCTTCATTCATGTTGATTAAAACAAAAAAAGAATGGATCCATTTTCCTGTGTAAATAAATGTTGTATGGCCAGAAGGGAGTGCACATGCATGTTGTGCTTTGACACACACGAAGTACGCTGTAATCCACTGAGAAGACTCCCAGTTACGTCTATTTCCTGGGTTATGTTTCATCTTATAGACAAAACAAAATAAAGGAAGCTGGGGCTGGTCGGGCCTCTGCACTCTGCGTTCTGAATCAAAATGCCAAGTCGCATGGTTCTGCCACAGTTCCATAAGCAGAGACGACTCGGGTGGGTGGGCTGGCCTCGGCAGGACAGGAGGATCTACTGTGGAAACAGCACATTCTCTTCGGCCCTCAGCCTCAGAGGGGAAGAGCTCCCAAATGACAGAGTCCTCAGGGTCTACATGGTCCTTAAAGAAAACATACCCTACAGTCACAACATGTGATGTCCTCCTGGAGGCAGTTCAGTGCAGACATGGGGGGAGCCAGAAGTCCCAGGGAGGGCTGAGCTCCTGAAGTCACCAGGCAGAGTGAAGACCCACCTGTGGGTCTTCCCCATCTTCCTGTTCTCCCAGGATCCATGTACTTCACAAGACAAGGAAGCATTTCCTGTCCAGAGCTCCCTATTAGACTGTGGTTGGACTGGGAAGAGTCTCGTGCAGAGACCTAGATGGACTCCTGACTGCACCATGCAGCTGGGGCCTGCCCTGGGCAACTGGTTTATCCGCTCAGAGCTTCAGTTTCTGCACGTGGACAGAGGCAGTAACCTTGTTGACCTCTCCCAGAGCCTGGCAGGATCAAGTGGTATTTATGCAGGAAGTGAGTGGACACCCACCTTGCAGTCATGAGGGGAATTCACAAAGGTCATGAGTGGGAGCTGGGGTTAGGTCCTGGGAGGTGCCAAGAGAACACTGGAGGACAGTGGGAGAACCACGGAGAAGGTCAGGGATGAAATGAACGTGCCTCTGGGCTGGGCACTACACCCAGCACCTGGCAGAGGGTCAGCTGGTGGTGGTTGGATGAGGTGAGGATCAGCCACACACACCAAACGACCCCTCCCCTTCCTCCCAGGAAGCCCTACCAGACCTGGGCCCCAGGACACTGAAAGACGCTAAAACCTAAAAGAAAACCTAAGAAACCTAAAAGAAAAGCTTGAATCTTATCTGCAAATTCTCAGCATGAATTCACTATCCAAAAAGCAACGGTGAGAAAATCAGCTCTGAGACAGGGCAAATTTCTCCAGTTACAATCGAGGGAATCCCTGGCTAGCTGTTTGAGCTTCCTCGACTCTCCCCAGAGCCCGTATCTGGGACCAGTGAGGCACAGGGGGCATGTGGCTTCAGACTCCCCCCACCCAGAGGACCCACGGGAGTGAAAAATTAACCTGGATACATAAAAATTCCTATTAATGTGCTGAAGGCCGCAGACCGAGATAGGAGGGCACGTGAATGAAGGAGCCCAGAACTGTGATGCGTGACAGTCATGTCCATTTGATGATCTATAGCTGTGAACCTTTCTTTCCCTTTTGTTAAGCAGACAGTTGCTGCCAGAGGCGATTTTGGCCTGGGGAAGCTGGCCGGGCAGGGGCCCACGCGACAGTGTCCACACACTGCCACCCCTGTCCTTGGTGCCGCTGCCTCTCCTCCCCTCCTCCACGTCGTGGCTATGAAGGTCACGTCGGGGACAAGTCCACGAGGCTGGGTGTAGGGGCAGGCTGGGTGTAGGAGCCGGGGCCTCCACTCACCTAGTGCATGTCAGAGTTCACCTTGTCCTGGAAGATGTACAGGTTGTTGGTGGCTGCAATGGCAATGATGTTCTCTGCTGGGTGCCAGGCTGTGTGCAAGATCTTCTTGGTGAAGTCCAAGCTGTCCACGCTGATATCGTCACGCCTGCGCTTGCCGCCCACACACACACGCCTCGGCTTGAGCACGGCCCGGGGCTTGCTGCTCTCCCGAGATGCCTCCAGGGTCACGTCCCGCTTGGTGTTGCGGTCAAACATGCGAAAGAAGTTGTTGTAGGCCCCAGTCATGATGACACTGGCAGGAGATGGAGAAGCATCAGGCAGGGGGACCAGGAAAGACAGAAACTTGTCTCTTCTCATGAAATAACCCCCAGCACCTGAGAGACCTCCACTCCCCAGAAAAAGAACCCACACCTGCCTCAAGTCTACCTATCTCTCAGGGTCTCTTGTACCACTCAATTTTAGCTGCTGTTACCACCTTTGGGGTCAGGAGCTGAGACCTCTTTAATGTTCTGTCCCGAACATAATAAAACTACCCTCCCGTCCTTCCCTGTTAGTCCAGAAGAGATAGCCCTAGGCTTTCAGACTCTGCAGCCATAGAGAGAAATAAACACAGAAGGCGGGGACATAAACTCACTGGCCACCCAGGGCAGGCCTCAGAGTCAGCCAGACCTGCCCTTCCCTCCAGGGCCAGGACCCTCCTGTCCCAAGCAGATGAACAAGCGAATGCACATCACCCCTTGGGGAGAGGAAAACTCCACTCATGCAGGTGTTCACAGACCTCTTGTCCCACTAAAGATAATTTTCTCCTTGCCCCATTCATTTCTCTTCTCACTGCTTCTCCTAAGGAAAGGGGTTCCTATTGGGTGAGAAAGGGTAAGTGAATCTGCATAGAAGGGGCAGGAGAGAAATTGCAGCCTCTGTGAGTAGCTGTGGGGTGCTAGGTAACCGGGGGGTGGGAAGGGATCCCAAGAAGCAAAAACGAAGGTGAAGAAGTGGTTCTGTTTAAGGTTCTTCAGAGATGTGTGTAGAAAGTGGAAATCCATCCTCCCCCCAAAATGGAAATCTCTTTTTTCTGTTGGAGCTGAGTTGTGCTTCTTGAGGCTGGTGCTGCTCTGAGACACAGATGGTCTTTGTTTTTTATTTTATTTATGTGATGTATTATATTTATAGATTTGCATATGTTGAACCAACCTTGTAACCCTGGAATAAAACCAACTTGATCATGGTGTATATTTTTTTTTTTGATGTGTTGTTGAATTGTTTGCTAAGATCTTATTGAATATTTTTGCATTGATATTCATTAGTGATATTGGTCTATAATTTTCCTTCTTTGTTGGATCCTTTCCTGGTTTGGGGATTAGGGTGATATTTGCTTCATAGAATGTGTTGGGACACATTCCTTCTTTTACTATGCTTTTGTAAAGGTTGTATAATATAGGTACTAGTTCCTCTTGAAAGGTTTGATAGAATTCGGATGTGAAGCTACCTGGTCCCAGACTTTTGTTTTGTGGGAGATTTCATACATATTGTTGATGCTATTTCAGTGATTGATATAGGTTTATTCACGATTTCTAATTCTTTCTGGTTGAGTTTAGGAAGGTGGGGTGCTTTCCAGTATTGGTCCATTTCCTTCAGATTTTCGTATTTCTGAGAATAGAGGTTTTCTGTAGTACTCATTGAGGATTTTTTTGATTTCTGAGGTGTCTGTTGTCATTTCTCCTTTATCATTTCTGAAAGACGATATTAGAAACTTTACTTTTCTGTATCTGGTTAGGTTGGCCAAAAGTTTATCAATTTTATTAATCTTTAAAAAAAACCAACTTTTTGTTTCATTGATTTTCTGAATGATTCTTTTGTTTTCAATTTCATTTAATTCTGCCCTAATTTTGGTTATTTCTTTTCTTCTGCTAGGTTTGGGATTGCAATGTTCTTCCTTTACCAGTTACTTGAGATGATCCATTAAGTTGTTGACTTCTCTTTCTGTTTTCTTGATGAAGGCTTCCAATGCTATAAATTTCCCTGTTAGGACTGCCTTTGCAGTATCTCACAGGTTTTGACAATTTGTGTCTTCATTATCATTTTGTTCCAAAACTTGGGTGATTTCCTTCTTAATCTCATCTTTGACCCAGCTGTCATTCAGCCTAAGATTATTTAGTTTCCATAACTTCGAGTATGAAGATTCCTGCTGCTGTTGAGTTCAATGTTTATTCCATGGTGATCAGAGAAGATACAAGAAATAATTTTCTGTTCTTTTAAATTGCTAAGGTTAGATTTGTGTCCTAAGATATGATCAATTTTGGAGGATGATCCATAGGCTGATGAGAAGAATGTATATTCAGTTTTATTAAGATGAAAAGTTCTGTAGAGTCTGTTGAGTCCATTTGTTCTAAGGTCAGGTTTAAGTCTAATATTTCTTTGTTTAATTTCTTCTTGGAGGATCTATCCAAAATTGTCAAAGGGCTGTTAAAATCTCCAACTATTATAGTGCAGGAAGGTATCAAGTTATTCATATCCATCACATTTTGCTTTATAAATTGAGGAGCATTCTGGTAGTGTGCATAAATGTTAATTATTGAAATCTCTTCATGTTGAGTGTTTCCCTTGACAAATATGTAGTGACCATTCTTATCTTTCTTTATTTTTGTTGGTTTAAAGCCAATTGTATCTGCAAGTAAAATTGCAACCCCTGCTTTTTTCTGATTCCCATTTGCCTGTATTATAGATGTCCATCTCTTCACCCTGAGTCTATTTTTATTCTTTAATGTAAGATGAGATTTCTTGTATGCAGCACATATCTAATCTGAGTTTATGTATCCAGTTAGCCAACCTGTGCCTCTTTAGTGGGCAATTTAAACCATTCACATTAATTGAGAGAATTGATAAGCCTGGTAGTGTTTTGAGTGCCATGTTTTTGGAATGTCCAGTGGACGTTTTTAATCCTTTCACCACTGTGGAAGTTGGGTTTTGTTCAAAAATTTCTGGGTGAGTTTACTTTGGAGGTAGAGCATTGTGCTGGTCATTGTGGAGGATGTGTCTGAGAATATCCTGGAGAGCTGGTTTAGTTATGGCAAATTTCTTCAATATGTGTATCATTAAAGTATTTGATTTCTCCATCACAAATGAAACTCAGTTTAGCTGGATACAGGATCCTAGGCTGAAAGTTGTTTTGTTTTAGGAGACTGAAGGTTGATGACCATCTTCTTCTGGCTTGAAACGTTTCAGCTACGAGATCTGCAGTCATTCTGATATTTCTCATTTTGTAGGTGATACTTTTCTTACATCTGATTGCTTGCAGAATTTTCTCCTTTATCTTAACTTTGGCAAAGTTAATCACAATGTGTCTAGGAGATGCTTTATTTGGATTGAGTCTTGCTGGGGTTCTGAAACTGTCTACTATTTGAAGTTCTGTATCTCTTGCAATGCTTGGGAAATTCTCCTCCAAAATCTCTTGGAGTAGAGCATCTGTACCTTTAGGGCCATCCTCTTCTCCTTCAGGAACTCCTATAAGACAAATGTTTGACATTTTGGAGCGATCCCACAACTTTCTCAGGGAATGATCAGTTTTTGCTCTCCATTTGTCTGCCTCTTAAAGCATTTGGGAATGTTCAAAAGCTTTGTCCTCATTTTCAGAGATCCTTTCTTCTGCCTGGTCAACTCTATTACTGAGGGATTCCACTGTATTTTGGAATTCCTTGAACAACTTTTTCATCACCTGGAACTCTGCTATCGCCTTTCTCATTATGTCTATATCTTTGGTGACTTTGTCTTTGAATTCTTTAGTTTCTTGAGACAACTTTAGGACTACTCTTTGGATTTCAATTTCTAACTTTTCTTCCACTCTATTCATCTTATTTGCCATCCATATTCTGAATTCAATTTCTGACATTGCAGCCATTTGTCTGTGCATGGCATCTTCAGTTGTATCTGCTTTGTTATTTTTTTTGGGGGGGGGGAGGTTGATCTACTCTGGTTATTCATGTTGCCAGAGTTCTTCTGTTGGTTCTGTACCATGTTCATTTTCCACTGTTTGGTTATCAGAACTGGTAGGGTGAGATTGAATTGGGATTCCCAGGTAGTAGAGATAATCAGCCTCTTACCAAAGTGCTAGGCTTTGTAATTGTGGCTTATCCCCTATAATCTTACAAAGGCCCCTTTCAGAGTTTTGGCTAGAGACTCTGAGGACCTACTTGGTGAGCTAGCTCAAGCTAGCTTTGTTTTGGTATCAGCCAACCTCTACCCTATCCTATGAAGCCACAGTATTAGGTTTAAATCTTAGCTGTGGAGGGGTACAGACAGTTATGGTGCCCCACCCCCACCCTTCAGTTCTTTTCTGCTACAGAACTTTGAATGTCAACCTCAGAGTGTCCCAGGGTGGATAGCCCCAGATACGAGTTCCAATCAAAGTGTCTCAAGCAGTATAAACCCTGCTCAGCAGAGAGGGATCCAAGAGTCTCCAACAGCACAACTGGAGCCATGGGCCCACACCCCCATCCCCAAGACTCAGTTCATACTGGTGTCCACTTCTCTGCTTGCTGGCCCAGTTGGAGCCATGGACCACTCCCCCACCCACCTTTCTCAGTCTGCTCACCAGCCCAGTTGGAGTTGGGGAACACATCCCCACCCACAGGTCTCTGTCCATACCTGGAGGCTTGCTGGCTCTGTTGGAGACAAGGGACCACGTCCTTGCCCTCAAGTCTCAGTCCACACCTGGCAAGCCTCTGCTTGCCTGCCAACCTGGGGCTTGGGACCAGCCCCATCCACTGAACTCAGCCCACACCAGGCAACTACTCTCCCACTTGAGGGCACTGTCAGAGCTGGGGGTTCCGTATCCCCTCCCACACTGCCCAAACCAAGGGTCAACACCACCACTGGCCGGGCAAAGTCATAACCAGGGAACTGCTCCTCCTCCCACTCAGTGTCCCTTTCTTCCCATGCCCTCTTTCTTCCCAGGAGTCACAGATTCCGTCCTGACATTTAGCAGTCCACACTATGTCCAGATCTCTGAGGAAAAGATCAGACACTCTGCATAATTCAGGGGGTACAACTTCAGCTATTGAGGATATTTATCACCTCAAACATTTTTAATTTGTGTTGAGAACATCTCAAATAGTCTCTTCCAGCTATTTTGAAATATACAGTAAATTACTGTTAACCATAGCCCCATATTGAGCTGCCACACACACACCTGGCAGGCCTCTCGGAGCCAAACAGAGCCACCGGCATGGGCAGGGCTGCTCCTGGCTCACTTGAGATTGCAATCAGTGGTTTTGAAACAGAATGGCCTGAAGGGAA